GGCAGCCCAACATCAAACTTCAGACCACATCTGAAGTTTGCCTGGTCTTAAGTTTTGTTGAGAGTTAAGCACAATTTTAAGCTCCTTTCATTATAACTAGTCATTATAACTCTAGGTAAAACAGAGGGTTCCTTACTGAACAGCCTCAGTTTTGGTTGAAAGTCACTTCACATACATTTTTTTATAATGTAAAAAAGGGTTTGACATTTAAATAGAAAGAAATCTTGTAGCATGGAATAGCACAATGATTTTTATTCTATATATTTCCCATTAACATTTGTCTCTGGGTGTCTTTATTTGTTCTGGTTGTAAGTGCAGTATATATATATATATATATATATATATACACTACCGCTCAAAAGTTTGGGATCAGTAAGACTTGTAATGTTTTTTAAAGAAGTCTCTTATGCTCATCAAGGCTGCATTTATTTGATCAAAAATACAGAAAAAACAGTAATCTTGCAAAATGTTATTACAATATATATAATAATGGTTTCTATTTGAATATACTTTAAAATATAATTTATTTCTGTGATGCAAAGCTGCATTTCCATCAGCCGTTACTCCAGTATAAAGTGTCACATGATCCTTCAGAAATCATTCTAATATGCTGATTTATTATTAGATTATCAATGTTGGCAGCAGTTGTGCTGCCAAATATTTTTTTGGGAAACTTCGATACTTTTTCAGGATTCTTTGATGAATAAAAAAGTTCAAAAGAACTGCATTTATTCAAAATATAAATATTTTCAAACGATTTAAATCTTTGATATCACTTCTTAACAATTTAACACATCCTTGCTGAATAAAAGTTTTAATTAATTTAAAAAAAAAGAAAGAATACAAATATACTGACCCCAAACTTTTGAACGGTAGTGTATATTGTTAGAAAAGATTTCTATTTTAAATAAATGCTTTTCTTTTTAACTTTTTATTCATCAAAGAATCCTGAAAAAAAGTATCACAGGGTCCAAAAAAATATTAAGCAGCACAACAGTTTCCAACACTGGTCATAAATCAGCATATTAGAATGATTTCTGAAGGATCATGTGACACTGAAGACTGGAGTAATGGCTGATGGAAATTCAGCTTTGCATCACAGAAATACATTGTATTTTAAAGTGTATTCAAATAGAAACCATTATTTTATATTGTAATAACATTTTAAAGAGAATAGATATTTCAGAATTTAATTAGCCATTGAAATTAGATTAGACATCCTGCACCCCAGACAATTTGCTGTGGGCCCCTAGAATCACTACCTTAAAGGTGGGGTAAGTGATTTCTGGTAGGCAATGTTGATATTTCAAATCACCAAAACAAACACGCCCCTACCCCTATTTTGATAGCTCCGCCCCACACATATGCAACCCAGGCAACGATTATGGCAGAATCTGCTGTATTAAACATATTATCTTACTTTTCGGACACACTTTGGGAGCTGAAACAGACAGTGGAGGAGGTTTAGACGCTCCAGGCTTATATGGTGTGGAAATGAATGTCTTTTGTTTTTTATCCGCCATCTCTATCTTTCTGTCGTCGCTCGGCTCGGCTAATGTCCGTCCTGTGCACTGAGCTCTCTCTCCTCCCCATCATGAGTAGACATGCCCCTTACTGCTGATTGGCTACAAGTTTGTTTTGGTACTCTGCCCAACTCGGTTTTCTAAAGCGTTTTTGAAAAAATACATACCCCACCTTTAATGTTGACTAGTTTATTTAGAGTTTTATAATCATTATTATTTATATTTTTAGTGATGGTGCTTTAAATCCACTGTTTTCAACAAAGTACATTTCAAGAAAGTTACTAACTGTGATAGTTTTGTGCAGTACAAGTTTGTTTATTTGTGGAATATCTGTTGGCCAATGGTCTGTGTCTCGCCTTGCTGTTTTTTATTTCAGTGTCTTACGTCATGAGCATTGCATTTCTAAGACTGTCACATTGCTAATTTATAAACATGTTTTGAGACCTTTGCATTCTGCTCCAATATTGCATTCAGAGTTTTTATTTTAACACAAGGCATGTCCTGTTAGAACGGATGTAAAGAAATGCTCTTGATCCTATTTATACACACCTTTTTGAATAACTAGTTATTTTTGAAATATGTATATGTTGCTATAGAATTCAGACAGATTAGGAATGAAATGAGTGTGAGTAAATGATGGAAGAATTTTCATTTTGTGTGATCTATCTGTTTAACAAAACCTTACAGGTAAACTGGTGCAACCTACACTCAGTTTGCTGATTGATGTAAATGAGTCTTTAATGATCTCAGTGTGAATTGAAATGGGTGATCCTCTGGTCTCAGCAAATGTGATATTCAAGCAGTCAGCCAGATTGCAGTGTAGTCTCTCTCTCTCTCTCACACACACACTCCCTCTCTCCGTCTTTGTGTGTGTGTGTGGTTGTATTCTTGCAATTACAGGGTGGGCAGGGGAACAGGCAGAGGGAGTCTGCACACATACAGGCATGATATAATATGCAGCTGCCAAGGTTTCAAAATATCAGCCACTATTTAGTGCCTCCATAGACCCACTTTTTATGATATCTCACTTACCCAGCCTATGCATTTTAAATAGTATGGGTTTTACCTTGTGACTGTTTTGATGGTAGGAATACTTCTTAGCACAGTCATTTGTAAAAACAGCATTAAATGCTCTAACTTCTTTTTAAAGAGAGGAAAGCTTAGTGTCTCGATTAACAATTTTTCTATCTAAAATGCAGCAATTTGTGGGCTTTAATGACTGAGGAGATTTTATTTTCACTGCTCGGTGTTTCTCTCAGAATATGTTTTGCACAGCTCCCATTCTGTAGCCTATAATTTTCCAGTGTTTTCCAGTGATCTTCACAGAAATGTGTTCCTTTGTTTTGCTTTTTAGAACACCATGATTTATTGCATGAGGTTAAGCTGCAGTGTGTTGTTGTTTACTAACCAAGATTGACTGTTAAGGGAATAGTTTACCCAAAAATAATTCTGTCATCATTTACTCACCCTTTTGTCATTCTAAACATGTATGACTTACTTTGTTGAACACAAAAGATCCAGTGTTGACCCCACTGGCTTTCATTGTATGGAAAAAATAAATCTTCAAAATACCATCTTTTGTAGTATTTCCCCATTTTTCCACAAGCCTAGTGAGTTTTGCCTTGTATCCATGCAAGGATACTAGGAAAGTACTTGGAATGAAAGCAACAAAACTATCTGTAAAGCACTGTTTACATGAAACAAACGAGAAGTATATCAGTATTACAGCACCAAAAGTTCAACCACAGTCTCACAAAAACTGAATAAATGAAGAATATATGTAAATCAGGCTTTTATGATATATATATATATATATATATATATATATATATATATATATATATATATATATATATATATATATATTTTTGAAGACTGAAGACTAGATTAATGATGCTGAAAATGCAGCTTTGCCATCAACAGAATAAATGACATATTACAATATATTAAAATAGAAAACAGTTATTTACATAGTAATAATATTTCACAATATGACTGTGTTTACAGAATTTTTGATCAAATAATTTCAGCCTTGGTGAGCAAAAATAATAAGAATTCTTACCAACCACACAACATTTAAACGATAGAGTACATATAATTTTTTTTTTTTTTTTTTTTGGAGAAGCATGTAGAGGTATTTAATTGGACAAAAAATAAATACGACTTTTGCCAATATTTAGAAGTACACTAGCATGATAGCTTTAAGCTAACAAAATTTGTGACTTTGATATCATGGTGTCTTTGATAGGACCCCTTATGGACTCTGATCTCCTTCTTTTCCCAACACCTTTTTTTTAGTCAATCTCTTCCATTGTAACAGTAACTGCCACCTCGCCAGAATATCATGTTTACATGAATCAGCAAATAACTCCATTATGTTCAAATAAACATGCAAAGGGCACAGGCGCAGATTAAAGAGACCTATTAAACAGTAAAAAACTCCCAAATTGGATGTTGGTGTTTTTCATCTTGTTCCAGTGGCTTTTGTTTGGCAAGGTGCTCAGACGGTTAATGCAGAGGACAGTCGGAGCATCCTGCGGCGTGATGCGGGGGTCTGTATGGTGCTCATTATGGATGTGAAGCACGGGCTGTATGGCACAGAGCTCTCAGCCCGCTGCAGTTGAGAAGGAAGGCCTCCCACATGGGGCATAATTAAGGCTGGGGAAAACACGAGACCTCATTATCTGCCGCACGAGATCTCCCACTACTGTACTTCGGTTATGACCTTTCAAGGGTTCTCCTGATGGAAGTGATGGCAGCAAGATTAGACAGATGGAACTGATTAAGAGCATATAACATTTTAAACTGATTCACAGTATAATGCAAAAAAAGGTTTCTGTGAGATGTTGATTTTCTGCAGTATTTGAGCAACAATCAGTCTTGAATTTGGTGAGTCAAGAATGTTTTAAAATAGATTTTTCGCAAAGTTTCGACATTCACAGATTTTGTCGACACTGGCAACAATTTATAGATAAGTAGCATTTCCCTCAGCTATTATCATAAACAATTTGATGTGCTAAACCAAAAAAAAAACAACAACAAATAATTCACTTTTAACAATAAAGGTTCTTTATTGACATTCATGGAACCTTTTCATTACACAAAATGTTATTTATGATGGAAAAAGATTATTCAGTAAAATATTATTCACATTACACTCTTAAAAACAAAGGTTCTTTATTTGCATCTATGATTCCACGAGAACCTTTACATTCATAGAAACTTTCCATTCCACTAAAGGTTCTTTACAGTGGAAAAAGGTACTTTAAATTATTAAAATGTTCTTCACACTAAGAAATATGGTTTTTAAGAGCTGTTCACTGAAAGGTTCTTTGGCGAACCCAAAATGTTTCTTCTGTTGCATTGCTTCAAACCCCCCTTTTTTGGAACCTTTATTTTATAGCGTGTTGAATGAAAACGTGGCAACTGTTAATCTATTTCCTGTATCATTATTTCTGATGATCTGTATCTCTCCAGGTGTGTGGGCCAACAGAGTTGTGGTTCCTGAGCAGGTGACTGCAGTGCTGGGGAAAAACGTTACTTTGACCTGCAGGGTGGAGGTCAGCACAAACCTCAGTCTGACCCAGAGTTCCTGGGAACGCCGGCTGCCCTCCGGCACCACCACTTTGGCTGTCTTCAACCCCCAGTACGGGACCTCCATATCTGATGAGTACAGCAAGCGGGTGCACTTCATCAAGCCCTCAGTGCATGATGTATCCATTGTCCTGCAGGGCGTGGGGTTTGCAGACATTGGGACCTATACTTGTAAAGTGGTCACCTTCCAACTTGGCAACATGCAAGCATCCACAACTGTGGACATTATGGGTGAGTATATGTTTGTGAACATTTTGTACACTATGTAATTGTATAGTTGCGAATTCTTTGAGGCGAATCATTTCATAAAACATTAGCATCCTCCTGAAAGCTATAGTTGTTGGGTCATACATTTTTTTATACCTCTTTTCATTGATGAGGTTAATGTTTTCAAAAATGAATGTATCTCGTGTATTCATGAGATCTTGCTAAGTCTTGTCATTATATGAAATGTTATTGTTTAAAGAAACTGTAAATTTGCAATACATAGGTATAATAAGAAGAAGAATTTACTTATTATTATTAATTTTGGAAACATTATATACATTATATTATTATTTATTGATACATTTATTGATTTTTCTCAGATTTGTTTTTTTTTTCAACACAAAAAGCATTTACAATAACAAATTATAGATAAACACATTCATTCATAAATGTATTAATTTATGCATTTATTTATTTTTCCCATCTTTGTTTATTAGATATAAGCACAAAAAAGTGTTAACAATAACAAAACATAGATAAACACACATTTATTTATGTATGCTTTTATTTATACTAGGCACTTAAAAGTGATTAACAGTCCAAAAACTCTCTATTGAAAACAAGACTGGAATTAAAGGAAAGTCATGATTTATAAACTTGTGTTGGAATGACTTATTTTTGGTGGATTGTATTTACAGAAAGGGCTGGAAACACCCTTCACAGAGCCCCTTTTCTGCTCGAGTGAAATGAAGTGTTGTCAAACGCTACAGAGATGACACAAATATCTGTCACACACTGGCATGATAGCACATTCCTTCTGTTTTGATTTGTGGGGTGCCATTTTTTTCCATGTTTATTTCCTGCATTCCCAGCAAAACATAAAAAAACAGAAGCTAATCATTTCCCTATTGTAAGTAGTAAAACTTCAGAATTTTATCGATCCAGTCTGAAAAGGCATTGTTAGTCCTTGGCATTTTTACAAAAAAGGGAGAAATTTACTAAGTCAGTAATTAAGTGACTGGCCAATCAGCTGCTTCGAGTTTGTGTGTTTTTTGCACACAAGCTTGAAGCTGCCATCCCTACTCCTGTAAATTTAACAGTGATGAATCATCGGAGGAATTCCCAATGACCGAGGAATGTTTTGGGTCTGGATTTGTGTGGGTGACAATGACCGGGCCCTCATTCCTTCCCCGTCTGATGATAAATCAATACCCTGATCTCCTCCGGGACCTTCGCCCACACGCACAACCTGCACATCAGATCAGCTGGTTCTCTGTTCCCCGTCTTCTATCAGGAGGGTTGGGTGAGAATGAGTTGCCAAGATGCCCCTGCAAGTTCTGAGTCAGCAGAGCTCCAGCGTGATCCAGATGGCATAGGGTTCAGGTTAGATGAACGCAGGGTGGGTCTGACACTGGCATTCGGATGTCAGCGCTCTGTAATACACTGTGGGTCCCCACCATTCAGGTGCCGCAGGGCTATATTTAGCATTAGGGGTCCCTGGGGTTATTTCGATTTCTCGTATACAGGAGCGGCCTGTAAACAGAGTAGAACAGGTGTGTGGAGCAGACGGCCTTGCGTGTAGGATTAAGTTGACGCTCCTGGCCCACATAGCAAAAGTGTTTCTTAAGAGCGCAGCTGTTGCAGTTCTCTAGAGAGAGTGATGGAGAAAGGAAAGAGGGAAAAGGACAAATTAAAATAGTATTGATACAATTTTATTATGGCTGCATTCACAGTTCACTGTGGTCCAAATCTCAATTCTGACCTTTGCCAGTTTCATGTAAGACGCTACTAGATTTTTACACTAGATATTTTTTTTTATAATTGTATTACATTTTTAATGCATTTAATTGATCAAAAGTTAGGGGTGGGACAATATATCGATATGGTGATATATCGTTGTTCTTCATGCGATACGAGAATCGATATCTGGTGCCAAATATCGATATTTGAATTATTACAACAAGGCGCTCTATATAGATTTCCCTGCTCCCAGAGTCTAAAAATGTGCACCTTCTTTCCAAAGCACTCTGAAGCAACCATGAACCGCGTTCTCTATGAAGATGGGGAAGCATGAGGAACCGAAGGATAAACAGATTTCCAGCCACTGTATTAGCTCTACTGCTATATATGTTTATGGAAATAAGAACTAAAAAACTGGCCCGGAAAAGCTATTAGCCCATGCACCATAGGCACCGATCACGTTATTATTGCAGAGCTGTATCGTGATATTATCGTATCGTGATTCGTATCGTGAGGTATCCTGCGATCCCCACCCCTATCAAAAGTGACATTAAAGACATTTGTAATGTTACAAAAGATTTCTATTTTAAAATAAAAGGTTCATCAAAGAATCCTGAAAAGAATATGATGATTTACACAAAAATATTAAGCAGCTAACCACTATTTTCAGCATTGATAAGTCATGTGTAATGATGCTGAAAATTAAGCTTTGCATAACAAGAATAAATTACATTTTTAAATATATTACAATAGAAAACAGTTGCTTTGAATTATAATAATATTTTACAATATTACTGTACGTTTAAACAAAAAATTCAGACTTGGTTAGCATAAGAGACTTCTTTCACAAACATTTTTAAACAAATCTACCGACGCCGAACATTTGAACAATAGCAAATCTGAAAGTATCAGCAAGGACCTATACGTATGGACCTATACTAATTATCAATACATTATTATGACATTAATGGTTTGTGATTAAATACAATTACTTTACAACTTTATATGCATTAATATGTAGTTATTCGAATCTGTGATATTGTGATATTTTACTCATTTGTCAATTAAAACAAATGATACATTTGCAATATAGAGTTATAATTAGTAGTGGTGGTGGTAGTTGTATTTAAAAGAAGAGGTCACAATTGTTATGTTGTCATGTTAATGTTAATGCTGATACATTTAAGGCTATAAGTTCTTCTTATTTCATGCAATTATAAAATATGATATCATTTTCAGTGTATTTGTTGATTATCTTATAATGAATGCGCCAGTGTTGGGTGTTTTGCCTGTGTAGTGTAGTATAAGAAAGGGATCATGCATGGCTAGCTGTGCATTAAATGATTTTAATGCACAACGTGAAGGCCAAGAACCATGGTATAAGGATATATGGACCACATTAATCAGGTCATGTGCATATCCTCACAAAACTGAATTTGAACAGAAAATTGAAATTGGACACTGGCTTGTAGAGCGAATGTAACCTTTGAGGTGAGTGGTCCCTTAGCTAATGTTATTTCAGAAATAAAAACAATAGCTCAAATTGAGTCAGTTGTTTTAATTCAAGCAGTGTGGGGTTTTGTTGCTGAGGGCTGCCGAACATTTTACAATGATTGATTCAGCTGTAATACACAATGTGTCTTTCCTTTTGTTCTCTTTAAATCCATGTGGACTCTCTATAATATTAAGACACTAATATGCCACTTTTCTATAGAGAGAGAAGCCACTCAGACGCACTCAAGGATGTTGTTGTACTCCTACCTCTGCACTCAGTAATTTCAGATCATCCATTTTTAATGTGAATTTGTAGGGTTGGTGTAATAAATCTGTTCTGTACTAATGCCTGTTTCCACCGTTAACATGGTTTCTTTTTTTCCCCATTCCTTCCTTCCTTATTTATTCATCTTGTTGTGTATCATCCTGTAGGTTTTCATTTTGTACAGTTCTTCCTGACCCTTTCATTTATTATTTATTTCTTGTTTTTCTGTTGCTTTAGTCAAGTACTGTTATACATGATAAAAAAAAAAGATTACTTTACATTTGTTTTTTAATGTTTTTTGGGTACTACCATTTAAAATGTGTTAGTAAGACTAATCCGTAAGATTTGTTTAATGCGTTTGAATTAAATAAAAACTTTTATGGTAACTAAGGCTGCATTTGTTTGATAAAAAATACAGTAAAAACTGTAATATTGTGAAATAATATTATCATTTAAAATAACTTTTTTCTATTGCAATATATTAAAAAAAATAATTGATTCCTGTGATGCAAAGCTGAATTTTCAGCATCATTACTCCAGTCTTCAGTGTCACACGATCCTTCAGAAATCATAATATGCTGATTTGCTGCTCAAGAGACATTTCTTATTATTATCAATGATGCACAATATATATTTTGTGGAAACTGTGATTACTTTTTTTCAAGGATTATCTGAAATCGAAATCTATTGTAAGATTATAAATCTCACTTTTGATTAATTTAATGTGTCCTTGCTGAATAAAATGTTTAATTTGTGTACTGGTGTGAATATATATATACGTATATTGTTCCCTTTCAGTCGGTCACTCTCGATGTCACGTCGGAGGACCGACGAAATTGGGATCTCGCTTAGAGGGACCAATCTACTTCGAGTGTAAACTAAACGAGCCAATGCACATTGGCATGCGATTATTGCATCCAGCTGCTGCTGATCACAGCGTGAGAATAAGTAGGCAGCAGGTGCAGCGCATATTCAGCTTTTCGCTTCGGAGCCGAGCGATCACATCGTTCCGCTCCTGACTACTCTAATTTCGTCGGTCCTCCGACGTGACGTCTCCGTTCCCTCCTTCAGGGAACGAGGGTTACATACGTAACCGAGACGTTTTATTCACAAATGCCTTCACCTATACGTCCAACAGTTGAACAACAATTTTTTTGTTTGTTTGTTTTTTTATTAAATAATACGCATTAATAAAAACAAGATTTAAACTAAAATAGGTTTTAAAATGTTTACATTTTTTAGCTTGTCTGAGTTTATTGTTTAGTTGTTTTTTGCTTCATCTCTTTCTCATTTTCTCCCTTTAGTGGAGCCAAAGGTCTATGTGTCTCCTGGCTCTTTGTCTCTGTTGGATGGAGATGGTGAAACTCTGGTGGCGACATGTACAGCTGAAAGGGGTCGTCCAGCAGCAGAGGTCTTCTGGGATTCAGACCTGCCGGGCCAGCAGTCAGCAGTCATCACACAGCAAGAGCCTGAAGGCACCACCACCACATCAGTCCACTATGTCTGGGCCCCCACCTGGGATGCATTTGGCCGGTCCCTCAGCTGCGTTGTTCGTCACCCGGCCTTATCCAAGGATTTCCGCATTCCATACCGGCTCAATGTGTTTTGTGAGTGTGAATTGCTTTTATCAACATTCTCCCTGTAGAAGAACTTTACTCCTGTTTCGTATTTCAAGATCTTCATGGGTTTTCTGTATGTTCCAAGGAGCTCTGATCGCTCACTTTTGCTGCTCTCAAACTTACAAGATGTCAGTTTAGGAGTTATTTTAACGTCGTAATCTTCAGTGTGCTTTCCTTTGGCATCTTCAACTGTTGGCTGCTGTCTGTTTGAACGGCGCACTGCTTAATGGAGGAGCTTTTATTGATCTGAGCACAGCAAGGGCAGCAACAGGAGCGGAAATACAAGTGAGGGAGTTCATACTGAAAGGAGGAGGCTTTAGTGCTCAATAATTCACACATTGCCTTCCAAAGTGTTTAAAAGTGAGAAAACTACTTTTGAGTTTTACAACCTTATAAATGTATTAATACTTATGTGTTTTATCATAGACAAAGCTGAGCATGCAGACGCTGCAAAAATTATGTTTTTTGTTGAAGTCTTGTTCAGAACATAAATTTAGTGATATTTATGCTTAATATAAGAGCAAAACAATAATGTCAAGAAATCTAAATTTGATGCAATATGATATTTTTTATAATAGAAGTCTTGACGTAGTATAAATGTCCATTTTTAACTCTCATTCTTCCTAAAGTTGCATTTATATGATCACAAATACAGTCAAATCAATTACAATTGAAAATATCTGATTTCAATTTGAATATTTTTTTAAATGTAATTTATTACCATGATGGCAAAGTTGAATTTTTAGCAGCATTTTACTCAAGTCTTCAGTGTCACATGACCCTGAAATTTAGTGATATTTATGCTTAAAATGAGAACAAAAGAATAATCCGTCTAGAAATATAATTTTTTTTTATATAAGTCTTAACATCTCTCTTAGTCTTATGATTCTCAATTAAATTCATTTTAAGATTTAATAATGTTTATATATTTTACTAAACAAGACAAAGCAAACTCTGATTTACAGTGTAGTTTTGAATGTGGCAACTGTTGTTTACATTGTTCAATAAGAAAGTAGAACACTGGCAATGTTGATAGGAATTTGATCACATTGTTGTTATATAGACTGCTGGGGTTGAATCTCAAGGCTCTCTGTTTCACTCCTGAATCCTCTTTCCATATCACACATACGTTTATTTTCTCAGCCACAGCTAAGCCTCAGTATCCTGAGGTTTCTGTGTAATTGAGTTAGCCAATCACATCTCCCCTCGCTGTTTCTGGGACTCACATCCAGAGCGTGAGAATAATGTCACGCTCAAATTTAATGTCTTATTAAAATAATTTATAGTTTCATTGCTTAAAAAAAAAGTTACAGGGAACTACATAAAGTGAGCTTCCAAAGTAGCATTTATATGGATTAAAGAGTGAGTTCACCCAAAAGCAATGTAACTCTACAATCATTTACTCAACTCTGTTGTTTCAAGCCTGTTTGACTTTCTCTGTCGTGGAACACAAAATGAGAACATTTTCATGAGAAAGTCATTTTCATTGTATAGGAGAGAGCAGCATTGACATTTAACAAAATATTAGGGCTGGACTGACAATATCCAATATTTGATTTTAATCTTCATTTTGATGAATCTGTATCAAATCTTAAATACCAGGAATCAGTCTTTGAATTGAAATATGTTTTTATGACAACCACCATTTAATTATTTATATTTCAACAACAAATTAGAGTAAAAAACATAATTATATCAATAAGTTGATATAAACTGCCACATGTTCAATTAACAATGTTCATAATATCTAAAAATGAATAGCAGTTAGTGCTGGGCGGTATACCGGTTCATACCGAATACCGGTGTTTATTTTTGTTATGATATGAATTTTTAAAATACCGCAATACCGGTGTATGTCGCTTAAACAACATTCGGAACGCGACACTGTTTGAAAGGGGTCCCTTTTCACTGTTGCACTGTGGTGAGGGAACAGGTGTATGCGTTACTAAGCGTGAAAGTTCTGAAACTGAAGTTGTAGAACTAATAGAACGTGATGACAGAAGAACTCATCCACAATATCCACATTGACCGCCACAAATATCCACCGCCTCCTGCCATCAGCTCCCGCATCTCACACACACGAGCGCGACTTTAGCACTTGATTTAGCAACTTTCAGACCCTTTTAGCGGCTTTTTTTCATAGCTACTTTTTTGTATTAACCTTAGCTATAATGGTTCAGTTGGAAGATTTTGCCAGTGCTGTCCTGCGAACACGAGGTCTGACTTTCCTGGAGAAGTGTCACCTCTCTCGGGCGTCTGTTCTGTGCAGTGAGCGGCAGAGAAGCAGCGCGTTCAGTTGGCCGCACTGCAGCCGACTCATCAATAAATGAATACAAAACAGAGTTTCCTAGCACCTGTTGCTTACTGATTGTTTGGAATTATAAATATGAGAGTAGTTCGTCTGTTAATATCACATGCACTTTTTTGTTTGTTGTTTTTTTTTTAGTTTGTTACTCAGATGCAGGCAGTGCGCTGCATGAGACAAAAAAGTAATATAGCCAAAACAACCGCATAGCCGCTCTTTAGTGTAGATGCATGTCGATTTTATCAGACGATGCTGCGATTATAAATGAGTGACTCCTGGTTAACGTATTAAAAGGGGTCGTGTTTAGTCACTATTTAGTGTGGTATTTTTTAAACAGTAAAATAGGGCATTCTAAGTCAATATACTGCAGTATTTCCTCTCTCAATCAGTAGAAAATATGGTTAACACCCGGTCATGCATGAAAAAAAAATACAGTCATGTACCGTGAAACCGGTATAATTTTGAAAAATACCGTGATATAAATTTTTGATCATACCGCCCAGCTGTCACGGTCCAGGTGTGTGGAGGCAGGCAGGATGACGAGGACGACAAGGATATTTAATGTAGCGACAACAAGGCAGAGACAGACACACACTCGGGGTAACATTCACAATAACCGACCGCACTGGAATACAAGAGACAGGAACTTATAGGGCAGATAACGAGGGGCAGACAGGTGAACACAATGAGGGTAATTAACTAATGATTATACGGGCTAAACCAACACAAGGGGAAGAAACCACAACAAACAGTCCACAGAGGCATTACATTACTCCCCCCTCCCGGAAGGTGCGTCCTCGCACCGTAGAAACAGAGGGAGGGGCGGAGGGGGACAAGGCAGTGGATGTGAGATGGTGACAGGGGAAGGCAAAGGGCTGGCAGGCAGACCAGACAGGTGGAGCTTCCGGCGGAGGACGGCCTTCCAGGAGGAGGACGGCTAACAGAGTCCAGGGAGGTGACGATGGAGGCAGGAGCCAGGGAGACGACAGGAGGGAACCGGAGCAGGAGGAGCCAGGTGGGACCCTGGCCACAGCTTTAATAGCGGCCCACGGTGGAGCCGACGGAGGGAGGAGCCATGGAGGAGGAATGTCCACCGACTCCAGGGGGCCGACCAACGGCGGCGGAGCAGGTGGAGGAGGAGCCCGAGACGGAGAGCCAATGATCCAGGGGGATGCCGAGGATCCGGGGGGCCAGGGTGGAGCCGAGGGCTCTGGCGACCAAGGCGGAGGCGGAGATCCAGAGATCCGCAGCGGAGCCGGAGCGACTGAGGACCAAGGTGGAGCTGACGGGAGGAAGGAGCCCAACGGAGCCGGTAGGACAGAGCGACGAGGCGCAACCAGAGGAGAGGAGTCCAGAGGCGATGGCGGGTCGACGCCCGACCAAGGCGGAGCCGGAGGGACGAGGGAGCACGGTGGAGCTGATGGATCGATGGGTGG